TTCAACATTACAGATTCTTTCTTGCCATCATATTTTTCAAATGTCAGCTCTTTAAATGCTACCCTCCATTTTCATTTTAGGCATTTGAGAACTTCCATCATTCTCCTAGTGTTAAAGTCCAGAGAAGTAAAACACCAACATGCATGTGCTTGTCATGGAAAAAAAAGTAAAGATTTTGCATTTGCACTATGGCTTCATTATTATAACATTGCCGTTAGTCATTTTCAAGGCGAGGGGCACAATACACAAACAGTAGCTATTCTTTTCAGCTGAAAAGTGTATTTCTTTAGGTGTGCAAATTAGGTGGTGATGCAAATTAATAGTGAATACAGCAGTCCATGTCAATCTAAACCAATCCAATCTGCATCCTGAGCGGCCTGGGCTGTAACCATTTTATTGAATTACGATATATATACTCCAGTGATGGAACCGGCCGGCCTTCTGCATCCTCCTTTTACACTCGCGGCATTCATGTAAAGTTTTGGCTGTGTTTATTTATTTATTTATTTATTTATTTATTCATGATACCTTACAGGGCCCGATAGGGCATTGAGTAAGGAGCAAGTACGAAACAAAAAATATCAGAGATAAATGCATTAATAATACAGGGAAACAAAATTGAAAAAAAGAAAAAAAGGGTACAGAACGATGGTTTCATAGATGAGTTGTCTTAGACTGCTTGGTGAGTTCCACAAGTTCCGGCGCAGGTATCCAAGTGACCTGGATGCCTTGGCAGTAATGGTGTTAATATGCATGTCCCATGAAAGATTGTGCTTGAGATGGACGCCTAAATATTTATACGATGATGCCTGGGCTACTAATGTGCTATCTATGAGGTATGAAAAATCGGAATTGATGCGCTTGCGGCTGAAAGTGATAACTTTGCATTTAGTAGAGTTAAGATTCATCTGCCATTTGTCACACCACTTTGCAATTAATATGAGATCATTTTGAAGTACGAGGTGATCTTCGGTGGATTTAATTGAGCGGTAAATGATGCAGTCGTCAGCGAAAAGACGCAGGTTAGAAGATATGCCTGTGGGTAAATCGTTAATGTATATTAGGAACAGTAAAGGACCAAGGACACTGCCCTGGGGCACACCTGATGTTACGTCACAGAGAGATGAGGTAAAACTGTTAGCTGAAGTAAACTGCTGACGGAAAGAAAGAAAGTTACGAAGCCATGATAATGTTAAAGAATCCAGACAGAGAGCTGATAATTTCGAGAATAAACGCGAGTGTGCCACACAGTCAAATGCTTTAGCAAAATCTAAAAACAATACAATCCGTTTGAAGATTAGCGTCCATGTTAGAGTGCAAGTCAGTTGTGAATTCTAGCAGCTGCGTGTCACATGACAGTCCTTTTCTGAAACCGTGTTGCTGAGGAAAAAAGAAGGAATTATGTTCAAGATGAGCGTAAATATGGGAGGCGATAATGTGTTCAAGTAACTTACAGCAAATGCATGTTAGTGATATGGGTCGGTAGTTATGCGGGGAATTTTTATTACCGCTTTTGAAAATTGGGATGACCTTGGCGATCTTCCAGTCTGTGGGTAATAAGCCTGATGATAATGATTGCTGAAAAATATAGCAAAGAATTTTACTTGATATTAGGACTGTGTTTTTTAATATTTTAGAGTTAATGTTGTCAACTCCAGCACTGGTTGAGATCTTGAGATTTAATATGAGATTAGCGATACCTTCAGCGGAGACATCAATCGCACTCATGTACTGATAATCATGGTCAGGAACAATGGGTATGTTGGAATGATCTTCCCTCGTAAATACAGAAGCAAAATATCTGTTAAAGACATGCGGGCATTCGCTATCATCAAGTGGCTGCTGTTTATCGTCACACAGTGAAATGTGATTACTAATGCTATTAGGAGACACAACACGCCAAAACTTTTTAGGATTAGATTTCAAGAGAGAGGGAAGATCCTGGGAAAAATATTTCTTTTTTAAAGTTCGAACGGCGCAACAGTAGCTTTTTAAGCATTCGCGATATTTTTTCCAAGCCGATGATGTAGGTGCAAGCTTAGCTTTTCTGTAAAGACGCTTCTTTTTATTACGATGACGATTTAGATGTTTGTTAAACCAGGGATTAGTTTTATCGTTGGAAATGGACACCACGGGAACGTATCGGTGCACTAAATTTGTTAGCACGTTCTTAAAAAGCACCCAGTTCTGCTCAACGGTCCTATCAAAAAACGAAGGTAAAAATGTCCGAACGAAAAATTTGTTAAGTGCAATATTCATATCCTTATAATTAGCTCGATTGTAATCGCGGATTTGAGTGATCGTGCTACCTTGAAATGCAAGAGGAATGGTAACCTTTTACCACGTTTGACCAGCTAGCCCAAAGAAGCACACTTCTACGTAACTAAAAGCATTTAAAATGCACTTCTCTCTGAATACACGCTTCAAAGACTAAAGGAATAAACAAATGCCCCACAAAACGAGTGCTGCACAACCCTGAATGCCCACACACCAATCCTGCAGAAAACGTGCCTCGTGAAATTGAATAAAAGTAGCAATGAAATAGAATTCAATAAAAATTGAAACGTTTTCAGTGGGCAGGCCTGCTGAGTTCTGAAAGTTGGTCACTCTTCCCTTAAGGGAAACAAGAAGCTTGGTTGCTCGACACATGCTTGGAACGGTTGGCGTGCCTAGTGATGCTTGGAGGCTCATTATTAGTAGCCTTAATGTTTGTGGCTTGCCTTATTTGCTCGTCTATGTCGGTTGGGTGGTGCCAACAGCGGAATTAGAAAAGTGCAGGGTGTGTATAGGTCCTTGCAATCCTTTAAAACTTTTGAGTTACAAAAACAGATTTTTAAGGCCCTTGAAAGTCTTGCAATTTTTCCTCGTCCTTGAAAATTCTTGAATTTCCTGAGAAGTGCACTTCCAGATTGACATTTCAACCTTCTTAATGTGGTAGATTGCTGTCCACCTGAGAAACTCCCCAGTTCATAAACAGTAATTTCACATGAGCACACATGGTTCTGTTTTGCAGAACTGCACTGGAAAAAAAATTCAGTTTGTCTGTCGGTGTGGCATAGCAATGAATGCTATCTCAATCATTCTTGTGATCTCAACCACGTGTTGTGTTCTTGAGAACCTATCTAGACTACTAGATGTTTTTGTTATAATTGTGACATCCATTTATGTAAGTACAATAAAACTAGCCATATTTGAAGGTTTTAGAAGACAACGTTCCAAGTTTGCATGCTGCTTTGAGACCTTGAAAAACCTGCAACTGGTCCTGGAACATCCTTTAGTAGTATCCTTGAATTTTTGCTTTGGAAACCTGTACAAACCCTGAAAGTGATAATAATAAACTGCAGTGCCCACATGTAAAGAAGTGACAGATCTTGCAGGCCATAGATGTGAAAGTAGCAGGAACAGCCATGCTTGATATGAGTTCCAACAAGCTGTCTCCACTCAAAATAGTGCTAACTCTGCAAAGTGGATGCTACATAAAAAACAATTGGTGAGTTGAACTCTCTAAATTAGCGGCACTTTCTGAACCAATTTGGCTTTTGTTTTGGTCATTGTTCAGACTAGGGGTCACTTTCACCACGTTCAGTGCTTTGCAACTGTACTTTTCACTGCCCTCTCACCTCTCTGTCAATGTAGTCACCACCTTTGTTGACAAAACAGGTCACTGACTAAAGTAAAAAAAAAAAAGAACCTTGTTCACAATCTTGATTGTGAACAGGTTGGGAATTATCTGTTCGCAGAAAATAGATTGGGAACAAGAGATTCGTACAGATCTCGAAATGTCATTATTTTTTTGTTTTGACTGTGGTCAGTTGCCTGTTTTGTCAGCAATTCCTCTACCTGACCGGACAGTATTCCGTCGAACTCTAGACTGAATTCACCACCTTAAAAGCTTGTTTCTATATGTTTAACTCATCACAGTACTTAGAGAATCTATGTGGTTCTCTGGTCATTGCTGTGCTTCTAACTTTTGCAAGTTTTTAACACTTTCATCAAAAATACTTATCGTTTCTTTTTTTGTGCTATAACTATTGTACGTGCTATCTGACTGTAAATACTTAAGCATTAATGATGTTGTTTTTTTTATTGTTGAATAATTTTTTCTGAGCATTGGCTTACCAACATCGAAATAGAATTTAAACAAATAGGCAACACTGTGAGCATATGAGTGTTCATCTGTGTCAGTGGGGCTGTTGCATTCGGAGCTGAGCACTCGCCCTGGCATTTTTTTGTGCTTTGTACAGTCAAAGCTCGTTGTCCATCTCACATTAAAGAAGCTTTGTTATATCAGTAAGCTCATCCTAAATTTATGTTTGAGACACTAACAGCATACTAGTATTATTCGTTTGCTTTGTGTTCCCGCAGAGAAATATATTTTGTAAAGAGTGGCCACTGGAGCCTTTTCGTGGACAAGCAAGGGAGGGTCTGACCAAGCGCTAGATGGTGCACTCATGCTCGCTTCTACTCGTTAGTCAACACATGTTATAGCCGCCTCACGAGGACCTTGGAGACCCAAGTTTGGCATCAAACTTTTTTTTTCAAAGAAAAAAATTCATCGATTTGTGCGATTCTTCATATTGGCTCGACATCGTGTCCCGCTGAGAACAATAATGCGTTACGAGTGTGATTAGAAAATGTTGTCTTACTGCATTTGTTTTGCACAAAGTGTATACATTCATATGGTTTAGATGTACTGTACATGTATTCCCTTTGTGAAAGCATGGATGTGTAGCCTAATAGTAAATACACTCGCTTTTCGGAGAATGAGGGTACGGGTTCAAATCGCAGCATTGGTAAGAAAAATTTTTGTTCTTTTATTTATGCTGAAGATATTATCGGGTCTGACCAGCCGCTCATGGCGCTGAAAGCAGCGCAGTAGTTCGGTCGCAAGGTTTTACGGGAGTGTCCGCTCTTTACATAAGTATGTTTCTCTGTGGTGTTCCTGCTTATTTCCAATGACTGGCCGAGCCAGCGCAAGAATTGATGCTGACTCCTTGCAGAGCTTGAGTGGCCCGTTGGGGAGGAGGCACTGTCGGCCACAGCAGTGCATGCTGTGTCAGAGCTGCTCACTCGAGAACCTGAAGCACGGCCGGGATTCCATGGTACGTTCACTTTGAGCTGTAATATTCGCAATCAATCGAAATATTTCTTCAGCTGAGCCCCATAATAGGGTGCTTGAATGTTAGTGCAACTTGTTTCTCTTGTATACCCCAGAGGGGTCAAATTAGCTGCTCCAAAGTGCTCTCAGATGCAAAATTATCGACTTGGAAGTACTTTAAGATAGGATATTTTGCTCTGCCAAGGTGTTCCGAATTCGAAGTCCCCAGTAGAACACTGCACCGGTAGAAAACTGCACCGGACTTTCGGGCGGGCCTGGTCCGTAGGCCGCGCCGGTAAGGCATTGTTAAATCAGGCCCGGGTCAGGCGCGGGCCCATGAGCTTAGGGCTCTGGTCGCACCCGGGCCTGAGTCAGGCCCGTAACAGGCTCGTGTTTCATATATGAGGTGTTCCAAAAAATGTGTCCAATATTATTTAAAAATTACATAAAGGAGGCATTGGCAAGCCACTTATGGTGTTCTCTTTTCTTCGGCAGAAAGCATCTTCAGATATGTACAAACATTAATTATCACAGCAATTAAAGATATGGAAACAATTAAATTTTTACACAGTTGAGAACAAATTTTCATTGAGGGCGTTTTCGAAGTGAACGGTAGATGCACTGTTTGGCGCATGGGTTTTGGTTTCGTCAGCTAAATTAGCCATCATCTGTCGAGGGGCAATGTGGCCAGTACTCGAACAGTAATACCTGCATCCTGCGAACAAATTTCTATGGGGAGGAAAGTTTCTCTTACTCGTCACAATGGATTTCAAAGCTCGATATTAGTGGTATTACATGAAAGACATTCCCCAAACAAGACATCGACATAAGAGAGTTCAATGAACCCATCGATTTCCGAAATGGTCGTGATGAAGTTGCGCTACCGAGGACATCAGCGAAGGACCGTAGCTGTGCTGCCATTTCTTTAAAGAAAGAAACAGTTGAACCTTCTGTAAAAAGTATGAGGTCACACAAGAAAAATGGACATGCGGATAAGATCGCTGCTGGTAAAATGTCGGAAGTAATCTGCGAAACAGGTACGACACGAACCCCAGTTATGTATGACGCCTCTTCGAACGGAGCAGAAGAGTACCCTTCAGTGTCCAACTTGAAGAGGGAGTTGAAGACAAGACACTCTTGGTGTCAGTGCTCTCCCTTCGAAAATGCGACAATTTGAAAAGACTGCAACTGACCTGCATGGATGCCGCAATATCAGCATTATGCACACCCACCTCTATTTGAGTGACATGCATCGACGCCAGTGTCATGGTGGCCTTTATGGCGCTCTCGCTGAGCCATGTGAACGGTTCTGGTCACTCGGATGACAATCATGTGTTAAACAAGTGCGCAGTAATTGTGATGCAAGCAGCGACTTTCAGTGTTCCCTCAACAGCTACAACACCTTTCCAAAAGACAGTGCGTCCTGATCGAAGCTGCTTCAAGTCAACAGTGTCGACAGTGTTGTGCCTTAGTAAACTACAAAAGCCACAAAACATCGAAAACAAAAAAAGCAGAGCAGCAGAAACGGAGACAGCCACATCTCTGTCACTGTTTCTGCTGCTCTGCTTTTCCCGATTTCGACGTTTTCTGGCTTTTGTAGTTTACTAGGTATGTACCAACTTGCTAAACTAGTAACTCTCCTGAAGTGTTGTGCCTGTGGCTGTAGAGGGGAGGACTACCATGGAAGGGTGTATTGTGATCGCTAAACGTGGGCCAGTTAGAGTAGTGCACTTATTTGACATGGCATCGAGATTAACGTATTGCATCCTTTTATTGCGCAGAGTTTCAAACTCCTATGAGGAAGAAATACTCAACACAGATAGTCGTGTACAGAAGTTTAAACATTTAAGACACATTATTGTAGGACTTCTCCACACTCGTGCAAATAAGGTGAAAATTCTAGCTGAGCGTTATTCGTTGTGGGGAGGATTTCCGTAAGGATGATATGGACTGTAAAAGGCGGCCGGTGGAAAATATTAGGGAAAGGTTAGTAAAATTGTCGAGGTGGAGGTTGTCGAAAATTGCGCGCAACACTGACTGAAGAGATGAAGAAGGGTAGTGGGGCAGAGTCTTGTCTGTTCTTGGAGTGTTCGTACGCCATGTTGTAGAGAGCACTGCGCTGAGCGCCAATAAAGGCTCCAAAGAGATTTTCCCACAAAGACATAATACTTTCAAAGATCCAAGGCTGTCACAACAAGACGACGAAATAGGCGTCTTCAAGGAATAATGAGGATGGTGTCTTGCTTACTGATGGGTGCAGCTCACTTTGACCGATTATAAAACTGCGATGGCGGCGACTCTGACAAGAAGTGTGGGGAAAATAACCTTCTTGTTTTCAGCTTAAAACATAGTGTGTATTGAAGACAGCTGAGGAGTCGACATGATAGTTTTAACTTATGTAACGCTGCTCAGCTTGCTGTATTCCTCTCAGATGTAGCTAGAGTGTGTGTTTTTATTGCATAGTGGTGTGTTACTTTTACTCAACAGCCCTGGTTTGCATGCAATTTATGTAGACTCAAGCTATAAATGTCTGCCACTTTTTCGACTTAATGGGAGTAGTATATATCGTAGTGGTTCTTTGAAATGCAGAAATAAGATTGTGTGGTTAGCACTGCATGCATGAGACAGCCAGTTATAACTACAATTAGATCTTATATTACCCTGCAGTTATTTTGAGAAAGTGTTACGGGTGTAATGAAACGAAAGTTCACACAATATACCAGTGAAAAGTCATTACACTGAAAGAAGTTCCAAAACACTCACTAGAATATATCTTTTGTGAGGGAGGCACAGCAGAATGTCGACGATACGATTACGGTTGATGCTAATTTCGCGATGATACATGTTTTAAAGTTCCTTCGGGTGAACTACATTACAAAAAAAAAAAAATAGCCCCACTTCCCCGAAGGGAATCATGAGGTAATGCGAATGCATTGCAAAGCGTCCATAACCGCGTTTCGCACATGAGAACCTAGCGTTCGAAAAATAATGTTCTCTCTTTTTTTTTCCTTACTCCATGCAGCCACTAGTGCTGTTTGCCGCACGTGGCGTTTTTTGTTGCGAGAAACGCAGTATGTATTTCCAGTTTTAGTAGCTAGCGTGCACAGTTAAAATAAACGCGCGTGCCCGCAGCTGTTTCTGACAGCTGCCAACGCCGTAGCGTGACATGGTGGAAGCTCCGGTTACTACAGACGCGCGCGCCTGCAGCTGTTGCTATGGGAGAGGGTGGTAGATGGATCCCGACGGACGCCTGACAGAGGTCGACAACGAAATGCAGTCGCATTTTAAAATACGCTGTGACTCAATGTTATTCGAACGAATGTTATTCGTATCATCAGCCACTGCTGATGATACAAATGCACAAGTGACCGCTGTACCCAAACAGCGCTACGCGACTTGTCTGTGGGGGGAAGGCCCGTTCACACTGTGCCTCAAAGGGAGTGAGCGCGGCAAAACTCAGGAATTTTCCTCGCTTTACCGCCGTCGTGGTCGAAAAAGCATGCCGTGAGGCTGACAGAGAAAAAGTCTGCCTGAGGCCTATTTTTCCGCCATAGCAGATCGCATGTTTGCTTCATGGCATGGGTTACACCAGCTGCACTTGGTCTCGAACCACGTGATGTAAACAACGAGTCGCAAATTCAACATGGCGGCAAAAGCGTCGGTGGTGGCTCACGTCAGCACAATCGTGAACTACCTGCGCAGTACAACGATGCTCACGGCCTTCGCAAGGACACGTCCATCGAGAGCCTGATTTTGATTACGATTGCTGCGAACACTGGAAGTGAAAGAAAATGCAGCAGCAGCGATTTGGCGTGCCCTAACGTGTCTCGCTCGCTTTTGTACTACCAGCTGAATCTGTCGCCTTCTTTACCGATGCGTCCGCTCATGCCATTTCTGCTGGGGTATCTCCAGGTAGAGGTTCTTAAAGGAAAAGGGAAGACATAAGCATGGCATCGTTACTGTCTTTTTTTTTGTAGACGAAACCTCTGCAACATTGTTGAGGAGGATGCGAAAAAGGGAGTGAAAAAGATAGGAAGTAAAAAGGTACAAGTTAAGAGAGGCCACCAACAGAAAAAGGAGGAGATAGGAAAGGAAAGTTGGGACATGGTTGGAGGAGTCCGAGGACAGAGCACCACACGACAAGAGCCTTGCAGCGCGAGGAGATTCAAAAGGGCGAACCAGTCGGCGAGAGCTGCACTGGCATTGGAGCTCACGGGCTGCACGACTGATCGGCGCTGAATCCGGGGAGCAAGTCAAGTTTATCTCGCAAAACGGCGTTTGTACCAGTGTAGCCTTTTTTTTAGTGCTTTGGATGCATAATTTGAACTCAGTAAAACGGGCAAAATGGAATGAATTCTCAAGCAGCGAAAGCCGCAGCGGTAGGCAGAGTGACTGTGAACAATTTTCGGCGGGTGCGTACGTGGTTTCCGGGTTGTTCTGGCGTTTGAATTCTCCCGTGTGACGGATTTTTCTTTAGTCCACTTCGCGACGCGTTATTCTGGCCACTTAAGTGGCAAAGGGAGTGAATTTTTCATAAGTTTTGCTGTTTTCTCTCTCTATGATGCGAAGTGTGGACGCGCTTTAAGCATCAGCAGCATCAGCGAGAAAACGGCGGCTGTTTATGAAGACGCGGTGAATGCAGAAAAGTTCAAAACAAGATCATGGACTTTTTTCGAGCAAGTAGTAGTTAGCCCCAATAAAGTTCCTGTTCATCGTCATCATCTTTAACTGGCTCTTGGTTCTTACGAATTCGGGGTTATACGATTATTTTGAGTGCTCCATTCGAATTCATATTATCGAGCTTCTACTGTATCTTTACAATAACTGAGGAGTGAACAGTGCTCTGTTAATGTTCAAGGCATAATTGGCTGAAGTGGGCTGGGCCCAAGCCTTTTGTGCTCGGGCCCGAGTAGTTGAATTTATTTGAGATTTAATGCAAGCACATTTGATAGTGCTAGAATGTACGATCGTGCCCATGTAGCGGCTCACTAGTAGACCGAATTA